CCCCCCCCCCCCCCCCCATGACTCCAGGTGTGATTAAGTGGTTTCAGGAAATGGGTGGATAGAAATAAAGTAAAAATGGACATAAATAACATAAAAAACAAATAAAGTTAAAAGAACAACAACCAAAACCAGAAATTAAACGTGAGAAAATGCAGGTAACATAAATTACAAGAAAGCAGCAGAGAATAAAACTGTGGCAGAGCCATAGTGCCCAGAAAAGCATTTACTTTGAGTCTTTCAACTGTTACCAAAAAGCATTATCTTACTGTTTTGTCTTGGTTTAACTGGAGCAAATTCTGTTGCATCCAGTCCTTGTGGTATAACTGCATATAATTACAAAATTATCCCTGCCTTCTAGGTATGATTTGAACCATTTATAGACTGTACCTGATAGGCCTACCCAGTCTAACCTGTCAAGCAGTATTTTATGGTCACCGTGTCAAAGGCTGTGCCGAGGCCCAGTAACACCAGTTACTGTCCCCAGATCCACACGAAGAGGAATGTCATTTATTACCTTTTTCAGAGCAGCCTCCGTACTGTGATGTGGACAGAAGTCGGATTGAAAACAGTCCAGGCAGCTATCTGCAGTGAGGAAGTCTGTAATTTGAGTAAGGACTGCATTCCCAATAATCAGGGATGCTGGGAGTCTGCCTGGTCAAAGAGGGCTACTGACTATGCAGACAGGACATCAAGTCTGCAGGCTGAAGATTTAAGGTGGTGCACGAAATCCTCTGGGGTTTTGGTATTGATAGCGTTAAATTTAGACATGACGGCCATATTCTGTTTGCACGGTAAGATAGCTGTCATATCTTTGCCTATGGGGGTGGGGGGTGGAACAAATGCATGATCTAATATCTTTAATTTTGTTGTGGAAAAAAGACACAAACTCATTACACATTTCGGCACATTTCGGGGACTGACTGCGTTGGAGGATTTGTTAATTTGTCCACAATGGCGAATAGGGCAAGGCTATTATTGAGGTTTGTGTCTGGCCATGCTTAGCTCAGAGTTATACGTCCGAAGGTTTTCTTTATAAATATCAAGGTGGATTTGAAGCCCATTCTTCCTCCATTTACGTTCTGCCTTCTTGCGTTCCCTTTTTTGAATAGCTACAACTGTGGCGTTTCTCTGTGGTGCTTTCTGTTTGCCAGGGGTTATTTTAGCCGTAACAGGTGCGATGGGATCAAAAACCCTGATAATACGGCTGTTTAGGTTTCCAAGAAGGTCATTGTCAGAGCCTGATGCTGCGCACGAACACATAGATCTGGGTTTCTTAAATGAATCCCTAGTATTTTCATTGATGTGCCTTTTTTCCTAATTGCAGTTTTGGGCAGGGAAACTAGAAGAAACAACAAATTGGAGAAAATACAGAAGTGATCTGACAAAGCAAGATCCCAAATATCACCAGCAGGAATAGTGAGTCCATTGCTGATAACCAAGTCAAGCATATGGCCTCGAAAATTAGTGGGACAATTTACATGGTGTGATAAATTAAACATGTCAAAGAGGGCAAGATATTCTTTAGCAAAGATGTCACTGGGATTATCTATGTGGATATGAAAATCACCAATAGACAATAACCAATAAAAAGGTGATATTTAATGATCCTTCCTGTATGACAGATCTACCTACAGCAATTGATCTAGGTGATATATATGATCCCTCCTGTATGATAGATCTATCAACAGCGGTTGTTCTAGGTGATAGATCCATATCTTTAGTTCCTGTATGATAGATTTATCTACAGTGACTGCTATAGGTGATAGATCTATATATACCAATCCCTCCCGTTTGACAGTTCTATCTACAGTGATTGTTTTAGGTGATAGATCCATTTCTTGAGTTCCTGTATGACAGCAATCGCTCTAGGCTGCAGATCTCCATATAATCATCCCTCCTAGGTTACAGAAATGACTATGGGTCTGCGTTAGATGTTCAGCATGTGTGCTACATCAATAGTCATAAACCAAGTAGACAGTAATAAGGCCTGTAGAACCAAAGCAACAGAAAATGATGAATGTAAGTATAAAACACAGAACGACATCCTGTGGTTCTTCCATTAACAAAGGAGAAGCATCCCCTAAACTATTAGCAGCCACTTTACGCCGCTCACATTTTTTCCTGTGTTTTCGGCAATGGATGTTTTCATGGATTTTCAATTTTAGGATTAAGGCCCCTTCCCTGCTGCTACTCTCATTATGGAAAGTCAGAAATGCAGGGAGATTAGCTGGATTAATCGCTATCTGTTCTATTTCTGACTGTCACGGTACACGACAACAGCGTCCATGGATGGAGAACAATCATCCACACATCAAGTCCAGCTCCGTGGAACCTTAACCCAGGAGGTGTGAGGTCACCTGACTGCATATGGATTGCAGTGAGAAACGGGAAAAAACACTGAAAATGCTATTGACCCATGCAAATCAGTAGTGGAGGAGGTGGAGGGTGGAGGGGCATCCAGCCCACAGCCCATCATGCAGGGGGCCCACTGCAAAATTTACCAAGGGACCCCCACCCCCTGGCTAGCATATTGCCCCTAGTGCCCTTGATAACAGACGATCAAGTCAATTTTCAGCAATTTCCTGAGAACTTACCCCTCCCTGGGCCGGCAAATTTTCCTGAACCCCCTCCCCATCCCTCGGCCCCCCTCCCCCACCGTGACACCCCTCCTCCACCCCTGACGCAAATTGAATTAGAGCGCTCCTCATGGTCAAGCCGACCAGACACTCCCAGAGTCCATGCTTTCATCACTGTCGGGCGTTTCAGAAGAACACGCCGTCCCTTTGCAGATAAACAGCGGCTGACCTTTAAGTCGCAGCAAGGCGTCTGTTAATGTGCCCGCGCGGATGAAGATTTCCCTGCGATACAGGGTGATACTGTACACAGGCAGTGTTCCTGACAGACCCCCCACTTAAAGGGCATTTCATTGCTCTGCACCATAATCACCGGCTTTGAACTTTCAGTCGCCTGTTAATTGTGGCACCGCAGCCAGTCGGCGCGTTTCCGCCACAGATTCCTCCCTGTTCACATGGTTATGAGGTTCAAACACACTGTACTATACTGATGGCTATTGTATCCTCATCCTAATCATGGCCAATCAACCCATAAGGTGGCATAGGCAGCCTAGGGTGCCAACTTGTGACGGGGCTCCGACTTAGCAAACCGCCGGTGCCATGCAGGGGTGCTGGTGGTGGGTGTCACATGGATGCCAGTTTGCTAGTAACAAGTCTTACTAATGTTTAACTATTCAACTAAGTGTTTCTTAATACAACAACATAAATGGTTAATTAGTACGCTGAGTGAGGTTTTTGCAATGTTCACAACCAAAGTGGTTCATTTAAGCAGCAACTAGTTTAACTGGAGGTCAGCCTTTGGTCGGTGCGGTGGGATGTTTCTGAAATGCAACGCGGCTGCAGATGACAGCTTTAGAGCTGCGGAAAGCTCCGAATGTTATCAGGACGAGGCGACAGGCCGCCAGAGGAGAAGTGCACGAGAAGGATGTAATTTGCACGATTTCATGTCGGTTGTGTAACAGTGTCAGTCTACTGCTCTGAAGTGCCATTAAAGCAGAACAACGTCAGTGTTATAAATAGGTGAGTTTCTCCATTACGGATTCAGGCTTCACTGGGGAGCTCTGAGCACAGCTTGTTCTTTCAGCAGGACCTGTGGCGAGGATGGAGAATATGAGAGGTTTTGGTGCCACCACCGCCCCCACCACGTTTTGGAATCTCGCCAATCCTCTGGGGGTCCTGGGCTGTTTAGGGGAGACCTGGAGAGCTGTCTGGCATCGAGTCCTGATGAGGAGTGGCTGGCTCTCTTAAACACAACAGCAAGTGGACGAAGAAGCTGATGTCCACCTCTAATTCCGTCCCCATTTGCTCGTTATTTATAGATATCAGTCCTGACTCCAGCGCTCATGAAGAGCAGAGTAGATAATTTCTGGGTAGCTAATTTGCTGCTATCTTGGTGTTCTCAGATGTAATCCGGAATTTCTCCTTGGCACAAATGGAGCATAGCTAACTTTCTATCTATCTTGCCTTCTTCCGCATCTGGCTAAAGTTTTCGGGCTTCATTCCTCCGTTGAGACATTTCTCCAGAACTCGTCATATCTGCCGGCTGGCTCCTTCCTGCTGTGTCTGTCCCCATCTTGTTTACTCATCTCATTCATAACAAAGCCTCAGGTTATTCTTGTTACTCCAGTGTCTGTGCTTGAATTGGCCCCCATCCCTGTATTTGTAGACCTTGTTTATGTATAATATGTAAATCAGGGCCAAAAAAGACCTCCTCAGGCTGAAAGTGGGTGACCCTAGAGTGTAGATCATGATGCCTGGGTGTACAGGACTAATGTACTGTATACTCATAGCCTGTGAGACACTTCAGACGAGTAAGTGCTTAAATATGTACAAACATACAGGAACCCCGTGGACTGCTGATTAATCCAGAGTAGTTATACTGCACCAGGACATGGACACTGCACAAATTTTACAAGTTGGACAGACAGCTGCATCACTGCAACAATTTTTTGATACAACTGATTACCAGTCAGGTTATTTTTTTACACTGGCTATAACCATGGCAACAGGGAGCCTTCCATGCAGCAGGTTGTAAGATGCGGTAGGAGGGCCTTTGTACAGGGTTCAGGCAGTTTGACCAATGGAAGGACTTTATTAAAAATGGAGTGGACCAATCAGAAAACCAGGTAGGCTACACCCCCTGAAACTGTATTCATTTTATTGTCTTATGTATATCACAGATGGGGTTCTTATTGTTATTGGATAAGCGGTACATAATGGATGAATGGCTTGACATTTTCTTATTTAGCAGGTATGTTTTATACAAGTGAGGATTATACAGCAGGGTCACCCAGTGTCCCTGGAGCTCTTGGGGTTAAGGGCCATTGTTTAAGGGCCTATTGAGGATGACTATTCTGCCAACCAGGGGATTTGAACCCATGACCTTCTGAACACAGATCCCTCACGTGCTGAGCTACACATTGCCTGTGGCTTACACACACTCGTTTGTTTGGTTACGGCGACGCTGCTTCTCACACACCATTTGCCAAATAACTCCTGGTCATCTGTTGCACATGTTTCCAGCGTCTTCATGACTCGATGTTTTGGCACCTTCCTCACCACCTGTGACTTGTCCCAGATGTTTGGGAATGTGGAACACGCTGGCAACTGCGTCTCTCAATGGAGTTATGGATTTCCTCTCCTGCCCTCGCCCTGATGTTGGTATTGCCATGGCGATAGCATATCGGGGCTGTGCATACACTAAGGAGGGTGCCCCCACCCCCAACAACATACAACCTGCCCGCCGGTGCTGTCAAGTGTTCTTGAGTAGTGCTGAATTTAATTGCCATTTAATTAGCGCTGAACCAATGTGGAATTGGTGGTGGAATAGCATGGAATTACTGCTGAATTGCTGCTAAATTAAAGTTGAATACACACTGATTAATACTGAATTTAAATTTTTGATTGGCTCTCTAGTGGCATCTATGGGTTACCATCAGACTCACACGCCTCCCTGGGTGAATGACATGTATCACAGAAGCATCTGGGTCTCACTCAGTTATCCTCTTACCCCCCGAGGCTCGCTGCCAGTGTCTCGGCCTCTGACAGAGAAGGTGTTCCCCTTCTGGTGTGGCTCCAGGAAGCGCAGAGGCGCTACCATCGGTATGCTGCTGTTTTGCCTGGGGGAGCATCTGTGCTTGGAGGGAGACTCCTCTCCCTGTTTCTCAGTTATTTGTTTCCTTGAACTCTTTATATTAACTTTCCATAATTCACTCAAATTATAGCTGTCAAGGGCTGGTGGTCAATTTAACCATAGTCACCTCCTGAAATTTACCCGGAGGTAATAGTTTGAAGCTTTCCATTAAAATGTATGTAGGAAAATTCAACTAGTCACTCTATATGCTGATAACCAATCACAAGCTGCAGAATTCAGACTTTTGTATGATGTCATGTTAAGGTTTTCTGAGTAGTGAAGTATATTCCAAGCCCAACAACCTTGATTAAATATGCTTCAAGGCTACTTCAAAAATGCAGTAATTAATCCCAGGGGAAGTGTGGAGAATCGCAGGGCCCCAGGATGAACATGCAGTCCTTTTAAAATGCGTGCTGATACGTCTGCATGCACCAGTACGGTGGCAACATGCAAGAGATGCATCAGCGGGAGCTCCGTGTGGCCTTTAAGATCGATTGGCTTTATGTGACCTTTGACCCGAAGCCAAATCCATCATTCAGCATACTGCAACCTTAGGCCAATTTCTAGGACGTATGATGGATCACTAGATTGTTCCTTTCCGTTGATCCTGAGACGTCCGTCACGGATTGTTAAAGGTAATTTATTTCTCAGTCATGACACCATTTGGTCTGAATTGCTAATGACCATAAATATAATTGATCCTTCCCAGACAGCATGGATGGTGAGCGCTTTCTGGGGATCGTCTCCGATCACGAGGAGTCTGCCAGCTCTGGCGAGGAAGACCATTGCTAGCAGTGAGGAAGACCACCCTATCGAGAGTGAAAAAAACATATACATGCACTACGTGATACGCTTGGTTTTCAGGATGGGTGGTAATTAAAAATTGAGGGGGGGTTGGGGGGGGGTAAGCCACAACAGCTGTGCAAACACACAGTAATTAAGCCTGAAAACTGCAGGGCGGGGTGAGGGGGAGGGTGGATACTATGGTTTCCGAGCTCGTTTACAGAAGAAGCACCAGGAGCATGGAATGCAACTCCATTATGAAACGTGCAAAATAGATAGCGGGTCTCAGATTTATAAATACAGCACTAATACACAAAGTGCTAACTAGCTGACCATTAGCAAGTGAAACAGCAAGTTAAATAGATCCTAACAGGCAGCTTCCAAATGATTTTAATACGTGTCCCTCCAGCCATTAAGTGAGGTGCTTCATTAAGATGTGTATTTCTGTGGAGGGACTCGTAATGTTCACCCCTGAACTGACAGTCCTGTCCTGGTGCAAATGGTATAGCGCCTGACTATTTCGTGTCGTGCTAAAGGCCGATTAATTAAGCTGTTACCGTTTTTTTTTTTAGCTGGTTAGTGACAGTATATAGAGCAAAGCTTTCTGCTTCCACTGGGAATAAACAAAGAGAACTGATAGAAATGTCACTAATGATGTAAGCAAGGGAGGGACAAGAGAATCTCATGCTAATTAAAATTAATAACAGGTTATTACAGATTAATGGTCAGACATGTTGAAATCCGGTACAGTTATCAAACACAAATTGCATATTTAGGTACGCGACGACGGTGATAAACAGCATGAAAGCTCATTATTTGCTTTACTTCACGTCATTTCACAATTAATGCCTAAAATCTATAATGCAGGTTGTCATTTTGAGTGGGATGACTTGCAGTTCGGCCAGTGTCACTAGTGGTGTTCCACAGGGTTCAGTTCTGGGCACGTTATTCTTTCTAAACTGCATGAATTAAGTATATTATAGGACAGTTAAATAGTAGCTGACACATAATTAAGTGGTTATTAGAAAGAGACAACAGCAGAGTCTGTAGACAAATACTTCATCAGAAATAATGACAATTCAGCAATGCAAATAAATGCAGGTTTCCTACGGGAGGCAGGAAAATACCCTCCATGTCTGTGTGGCACCATGGTGACATCGCAGTCAGAAAGGCAGGTGTGAGGCCTGGGAAGGTCTGTGCAGGCATGTCATTCCTGAACAAAGCAATCATGCTGAGACTATACATTGTACTGGCAAAAATTTCACTGGCAACAATGTGTACAGCAGGTGCTTCAAAAAGGGAGATTCCTGCTTTAAGGCCATGAGACAGATTCATGTTCTTGAAAAGCTGCTGTTCGGGGGCAGGTTGTAAACACTACATGACTTTAGATCAAAGCAAAGTGGATGAATAGACGTAGGATTCAGAATCCTGAGAGGAACCGACCATGTGAACCCCAATGACTACTGTATCGTCCATCCATCTATAAACGCTTATCCAGTGAGAGGTCTCAGTGATCCAGGAAGGACGGGGCACAGAGCAGGACACACCCTGGATGCTGTGGACTGGGTCTCCTGTGGACTGCGGTACCATTAGTATAAATTGCCCCATTAATGAGTCACACTCTACAAAACACCACATTTTTATGCAAATGGTTTCCCACCCCAATTACCGGTGATCTCTGGAGAAATCCACAACTTTATCACTTACAGTAAATTGTCAAAGCTCTGTAGATTTCAGTTAATATTTGTGTCACAATATTTGGCGTAAAATGCTAATATTACTGATTTTGAATTTGAATTAGTAGAACAGCCATAGCTATAAGTCAGCTATAGGATTAATTTGCTGTGGGTGTCGTGGCCTTGGCGGGGCGGTTAGGCCGACTATGTACAGGGCAGTCATAGGATCACCGTGGTAAGGGAGGGGGCGCCCAACCCACCATGGTCCAAGGCACAAGAGTGAGTCAGCGTCTAAAGGTGAGTCAGTGTGTGGCGGAGACTCAGAATCACGCTGATTCTCTGGAGAAACCTGTGTCACCGCGTTGGAGAGAGAAGTCGCCAGAATAAATACAGAAAAACAGCCAGCAGAGATGCGAATAATGTGGATGAGGACAGCGGGGTGCAGAGGATATCAGCCTTGTATGTCCCGGTGATATTTACACACGCGCGGTGTACATGGGGGTAGCGATGATGCCACAAAGCGGAGGGGCACTGAGTCAGTGTTTGCGTGTTCCCATTACCAGTGTCACTGCAGGTCCCCTCTGCATGGTCCAGGACGGTTCCGGTAAAATGACGTCTCTGGTAGATGTGAGGTGCTTTGGATAGTCTGGTGTCCCATCTGACGCCAAGGATTCCTGCAGATCTGTGTGGGGAAGCAATTAAGTCCTCTGCCACTCACGTAAATTAGAAACTTATTTCATACTTATCCAATGCAATAAATGACTCTATCCAGTAAATGTTTACAGGACGTTCCTGTTTCAAACACATCGTGCTCAGTTCTCGGAAGCCACCTTTGGCTTTCAGGCCTGTGCAAAATAAACAATCACTTTTTTAAAACCCCCGTCGTTCTTGTGATTTATTCAATGAAGTTCAGTAAACAAGATTAAGGCTGGTGTTTTCTTAACGGAGTTATGGCTCCTCAGTGGAAAAATTAATAACTTACATTTTGGTGATAATTATTCCGTGAAAATAAATAAAGATTCGCTGATGGCTGAGTGGCACCTCTAAAGCGCTCATGTTCTGTGCCGGTAGAACTTTCTGTCCTGCTTGCTCTGGGTTGGGCTTCCTGCCTTCTGAGTTACCCAGACCAGTGTAAAAACACCTTGTTGTCTTCAGCAGTACCTCTGCTTCCTTTTCTGTGACTCACATTATGTTAATAATCATTATCGGTAATTTTTTCTTAATGGGTGGTATTATTGTCTATTTTATCACGTCAGAATTTCAGCATCACTGACTCAGATGTGCTGCCTTAATCTGATCCTCAGTGAGGGAGCAGATCCATATGACGAATTTGACGTTTATGCTTGGGGAGCAAAACAACTGCATCTTACTTGCCTTATGTGTTAATGTACACAGCTGATGCACACATAACCTATTATTTTGTCTACCTATAGGGTACCAACAAACTGCTTATGCAAAGGTGCAAAGTGCGAGTGCAGAACGTGCAATGCGGGTCTTGCTAATTAATTGCAGTTTCGACTCAGGTCGCTGGGGGTGCCCCCCACCCCCACAAAACCCCACCCATGATCAAATCATTCAGAAATCATATTCATAATGAGATATTCGGGCCCATTGTGTGACAACAGACCCGGGTGTTGCGTATAGTGTAATACAGAAGCTTAGGGAGGTTTAGAGAAATCACTGTTCGGTTAGACAACAGAGTAACAATATCCCATATAGGCACAGAGTCAACAGCGGCCAGTGACTAATGTGTTTTTGGGGCAGCAGTGCATTCTGAAGGGAACATTTATTAGTGGGGTATCAATTTGTGAGCACGGTGGGGGCGAGGCTGCGGGAATGACAGGGACGGGCGTGTCATCAGCTGGCCTGGCCTGGGTGATCAGCTGGGAATCTGTAACACTGACGGTCCCTTTGCGACCCTCCTGACAAGCAGCAGCCTCAAATGTCACCGCGATAATGGTCTCCCAAGTTTCCTTTTCTCCGCTGCTCATTGTGTGCTGCCTGGTGCCAGGCTGTGTAGATGATACTAGAATGGCGATAGCATCTGAAGCTTGATTAGCCGTCCTGGTTCGGGCCAGGTCAATGTGAGCTCCAAGCTGGCCTCTTCCATTCTGTACAGATAGCCCAGGCATCCCATTACAGATCCACACTGAGAAGGACAGACCCAATTTGTATAAGAATGTTTTGACTTTATCTACAGTTCATTTGGGATTAGTTTGAGGCCGTGCAGCTGGGGTTTTTGGGTAGAATCTGACTCACTTAGCCATGTGTGAACTTGCCAAGGAACGTACGATTCAGGCCTCAACCGAGAATCATCAGAACAAACACGCCTGTCGCTTCTACAAATGTCATTTTAATGCATGGATCAGCATAATCCCCATTTCTCATTAAAATGAGGCATCAGATTTCATGCAGTATCTAAAACCATTGCAGAAAAACAGGGAACAAAGTGAAGAGACGCGCATTTTGTTGTCAAGCCCAAGCTCTGAGGAGCTGCTGGCTGTTACGGAAAAGAATCTGCGATCTGGTCTATCCATGTAATATGTATGGTTAGAGCTGCGGATTTTTCTTTAAATGAAAAACAATTAAAGTTTTATGAGAGCCATTTCTTATCTAGGAAGACTATAAAAATGCAACCAGGATCAGAATTCATTATAACTACAACCTCAGCCCTTGTCCATATTATTCTGAAACAACAGGTAATATTTATGATTGTTTACTGAGATTGGACAGATGTGATGTGGAAAGTGGGGGACTCATTTTCATTTCATTGTCATTTTATCTATTTCTTAGTTGTGGATAAAGCCTCACAATCAATAAACGGAAAACTCATTACTTCTCTGAAAAACATGCTACTTATTTCTCAGTTATTTGGGCATTAAATGGTGGCTTGAAGCAAATTTGAGCGATTTTGTTTCACACAGATGAACGAATGTCAGATTTTATTGCACAGAGGTAACTCCTCAGAGAGCCAGGAGATGCAGGAGAATCGATATTGCATATATATCAGTTTGGAGGTATCTGGGGTATTTTTTTCATTGTTTCTCTAGTGATCACTATAGCCATCAAACAAAACTGACTTGATTAAATCTATGAAACATCAATAACCCACAATGGTGTCGTCTTTTTGCCTAACAACTCACTGGTAAATATCACTGAGATTTGCTTATGGCAATTCTACGATGTTTTTAAGGTGGGGGGGGGGGGGGGGGGGTAAGAGGGGCCATAATTCATACAGAGGGCTCAGTCTTGTCTTTGGCCAATGATATGTTTTAAATCGGGGAGTGACAGGACAGGGGTACTCCAGGGGCCAATCAGCTTTCAGCTGCAGCCCTCTGGCCCCATCCCTGTATACACTCATGGCAAAGAGTCAATATTCAAACACGCTTATCAAGTACAGTGAAATATGTGACTAGTGTTTTGTTTACGATTGGGTGAGGCCCCCCTTGCCCCCTCCCCAGGTCTGGTCACCTTGCATAAGAGCTCTCAGCATCACAAAGTGTTTCTCAGTACAGCTTAACCGGTCAGGGGCGAGCTGATAGTCGGCTCTTTGGCCGACACTGCAAATATCATAATCTTTGTCAGAAAAAACTCAGCAGCATCTCGCTCCGAGAAACAGAGTTCAGACGAGTGCAGACGAAAACAGCGGAAATTAATTAAAGTATGTGTCAGCATCCTATGGTCCATCTGTCTTTCTTAAGTGCACTTTCTGTCACAGTGACACCTGCCACAGCGGAACACTGCAGCGTGTGCCAAGGATGCCGACGTCTGCTCGTGTAGAAGGCGACTCGCTTTCAAAGCAGCGCAGAAGCCGTCATTTATGCTGACATTTACTATTGCCAAGGAAGACGGCAATGGAACACAAGTTAAAGATAATTTCCCTAACACAATGGCATACATCTATTTGTCTGAGTTCTGACCTGCAAAAGAACTCATCAAGACATTAAATATCACTACACACATACTTGTTAAAGGACCATACATTATACACAACTCTACATGGTGCACAATATCAGACATTACAGCCCGAAGTATGTGCTAAACCCAGAGGGAGATGCATATTGCCCTATTTCAGAAGGTTACATTGCAACATTCAGAGAAAGCAGGGACAGTCAGTCCCTAGTGAAATTGGAGGTTGAAGCCCACGTTCAACATCATAATGGCGCATTCACTCTGCCGACTGGGGATTTGAACCAGCAACCTTCCAACCAAATGCACAATGCCTTAACCTGCAGATTGACCCGACTCCCATTTCTTCCAGGAATTACAGCTCCCAGGTGACTGCTAGACTAAGGACATTTCCTCCCCAGCTTGCTCACAGCGATTCGTGCTGCGGTTCGCTGAGTACTTAGCCCGCGCCGGTAAGTGGCTGCAGCTCCGGCAGTGTTGCAGGGGCAGCATCGCTGCAGAGTCCTAGACGCCCACACAATGGCTTCCTCTTGATGCCCGGATCACAAGGCCCACCGTCTGCCTCATCACAGAGCTCAAGAATCGATCGCTGTCTGAAAAAGAGTCCTCAGAAGACAGGCCTTCATTGGTTTCTTCCATGTTCACTAACATCAGAAAACTTCTGTCTACCACCTTCTAGAGCTTGGTTATTAAATATTCCATTTTAAAATGTTTATAAAAATCTTAATTTTAAAATCATTATAGAATCCATCATTCTGATATACTGGGGGAAGTTTGCAGCTCAGTTATAGGTCTGTGTGCCCAGAAGGTTGTGGGTTCAAACTTGTGGCTGACAGCGTGATCATATCAGCAATGGGCCCTTTAGCGAGTCCTTTAACATCAGCTACTCCAGGGATGGATGCTGGCTGATTCTTATCTCTGACCCGCTTTGGGCAAAATGGATAAATGTCAGCATGTAATATCTACGTTTAGTAGATTGGAGTTGCTATTTGCTAATAAAACAAGCCAATTATTTCTATATTTTCCACAATGGCATAAAGCGATGGAGATAATGTTTTTAAAATTGTGCGTGGATTATGTTTATCCCTGGGGAACCCAAACAACCTTATCATTATAGGAAAAATATGTCCATTGGCTAAAATGACCATACAGACCCAGTGAACTCAAAAACAGGTGTTTTGTAAAAATAACCCTTTCCCAGTCCATGTTATGAATGTGCCATATACGACCCGCCGGACTGTTCATGCTGTTCCAACTTGTTAATTTCACTTATGAAATAAGGACAGAAAAGAAGGAAAAACCAAATCTTTGCAACATTCTCATTTTCAAAATGCATTTATTGCGTTTTCCTTTTCATCATTCACCATGTGCTGGCAATAAAACACATACTTCAAACATGCCAGCCCATCAAGAAATAGGTCAAGTGAACAGACCTGCAAAAAGGTGTACTACACATCAGAGCATGTGAGCGGAGTGGAGCGGTGAGAATTTCCGCTCCTCGCTCACGAGGCTGTTGGCTCCGCCCGCTCCTCCGCTCTAATTCGCACTAAGCCGCTCCGCTCAACACAGCGCTCCGCTCCACTTCGCTCACATGCTCTGCTAAACACAGAAAGTTTACTTGTGGTGGCTTGTACTGTAAGGTCTGCTGCACCACCTGTATTCCCTCTGTTTTTGTCTGAGGCTGATGTTGTGCACATGGAACATGATCATCACAGTTGCCAGAAAAGTTTGAAAACATCCAAAACCTAGTTGTACATGTTCTATAACATCTAA